TCTGTGGCGACCCCCCGGCCACAGAGACTGGCGAAACGTTAGGAAGAACAACCTTCAGAACACAGCCGAAGAGCCCAAAAAACCCACAACAACCCACAAATATTCTTTGGTCGACGTGGAATAAATTAATGGCGTGATCATTCTGTGGAAACAAGTCTCATTATGTGTTTCAGAATAAGCAGCAAGGTAGGGTAATTGAAAAGCTTTTTTAATCCATCATAGGCATCCTTCAGTCTCGAGAGACTATGGTAACATGCTCTGAATCGAGGAGTGTCCTCTCCAGAGCATGAAGCCCGGGTAAGGTAATATGGAGGATAGGCTGTTACCCAAGCAGCAGATCCCCCCTCTCCACATTGCTGAAATGGTCCAATGGAAAGGCAAGAGCCAATACAACTGGTTCCAGCAACGTCGCAGGAGTTGGCAGAACGACACGAGCTGCCTTCGGGACTCCAGCTCCGGATTTTGCCTCGAGGTTAACTCCTGAAGCCTTTTCCATTGGTGGATATAGCCACAAGGCAGTGGAGGTTTGAAATTGGAGTTTTCCTTCTCCTAGATGGGCTGCCTTCCATGGCTGACGAGCCCCACCTACCCGGCCTGCCTTAATATGGTAAATAGAAAAGCCAATTAGATTTGCATAAGCCGGGGAGTTAGGAGTTTTAAGGATCAGATCATACTTTTTTAATCCAAATGTTGGAAAAAGCATAAATATCCGTCATACCTCCAAAAGAATTGGGGTGATTCATGCTCGTGTTAAAAAGCCACATAGAGTTAAATATGTTATCCCAGTTTACAGAAGTCACTACAGTAGGGTTTTCTTTATTTCCTACCACATTCTATAATGGTCACTTGAAAAAGTCATTTCTAATAAAACAATGACTGTTGTAAGCAAGGGTTGACTTCAAAAGGTTACTGTATTGCTCATATGGGTGGCAGAAAATAGGTGCATTAGCGTCAACCAAATGTTTCAGAGTGCCACTAAACGTGCTGACTAGGATACCCAAAGGAGGGGATTATACTTACCTCTGTACTAGAGCTACTGTTTTGAATGGAGAAGGCCCTACATTCCATCCCTGGCCATCTCTAGGGTAAAGTTCTGGCATTTCCTCATCCAAGGTCAGGCAGGAGGTGATGAGAAGGACCTTTCTCTGCCTAAGAGCCTGGACAGCTGCCAGAGGTCTCAAAATTTTGCATGTGTTTGTATATCTACATGCTTTACTTCTAACATCGAAAGATGGTTCCTGGGCTAAGCATGCCTTTAGAAGTATCTTCTTTTGTGCTGCTATGTCCACCTTTTGCAGCCACAAGGTTCTAATAAAAAACAAGGGAAATTGTATAAAGCTAAAATCTATATAATATAATATTTTTGGGAGGGGGGAACTATGGAGAACTCTAATGTATAAGAACATTATGTGCAATGTATGAGTTCTTCTCAGGCATTCACCTCCTTGTGTGTAGGACTAAATATGTAATAAAGTTATTGGCACGGATGCTGAGTGCAAAGGATTTTGTGAACCCATTTGAAACCAAGTGTCATTAGGGTTCCCAATTAGGGGTGCTGTGTTACTGGATTAAGCCAGAGATGGTTAAAGACCCCTTCACCACACTGAACTCTAGAACACTGCTGGAAGTAGTACAGTATATCACATTTAGATGTTGTGCAATTTTTGGTTTTTTAACTGAATCCCTTCTTCTCATTCTTAATTAGGTTTTGAGTGATGGGCGACTCGTTATACGGATGTTGAGTGCAAAGGATTTTGTGAGCCCATTTGAAACCAAGTGTCATTGTGTTTAGTCGTTTAGTCGTGTCCGACTCTTTGTGACCCCATGGACCAGAGCACGCCAGGCCCTCCTGTCTTCTACTGCCTCCCGGAGTTGTCATTAGGGTTCCCAATTAGGAGAGCTGTTTTACTGGATTAAGCCAGAGATGGTTAAAGACCCCTTCACCACACTGAACTCTAGAACACTGCTGGAAGTAGTATTCACTGATATTCAGTGATGGGGGTTATGTGCATATGCATGTTCCAGCCTCATATTCAGATCTACATGTGAGCAGGCAAACGCCTGAATAATGCTGTGGGCACATATACAATTCGGATTAGGCAATGACTCTATTCTATTTTTGCTTTCATTCTTGTAAAGATATTGTCACATACTGGATCAGACTATCGGTCTATTGAGTCTGGCAGTGGCTTTCCAAGATCTTAGGAGGAGGCTCTTCTCAGCACTAGCTGGGATTGAACCTGGGACCTTCTGCATGCAAGACAGAACAAAAGAGAACATCTTCCATGCAGCTATGGTCCCTGCTGAACTCACATAATAAAAATACTGAAATGAAAGTAGTATATCACATTTAGATGTTGTGCAATTTTTGGATTTTTAACTAAATCCCTTCTTCTCATTCTTAATTAGGTTTTGAGTGATGGGCGACTCGTTAGTCTGAAGCGTACATCACAGCCAGTTTTAACTGTGACACTTTTTGGAAGGTGGTTTGAGAAGGATCCCCCACATCTATACACTCACAGCAGGATTCTCTGAAATGCTCTGAGCATGATGGCTTGCAAGGACGACTGCAATAGAACATGAGTGGCATATATTTTCATTATTTTCTTCTGTCTGTTGTCTTCACTTCATTTAACAAACACGTTGTGTATTACTTATCTCTTGCTAACTTTAACATGGTTGCAGGTGCTGCATCCTACCATAGTGGCTACATCAATTTAGATCTACCTATCAAATGTACAAGAATATACACTCATTGAAAAGAAATCTGGACTAATAAAGATCAAGCAGAGTTGTGGTTTTTGGTTGATCACTGTCATGTCTGGTACCCATTCTGGCTGGTGGGACAGTAGACAGAGCATTCGGAGGTGGGTAGAGCTGGGGGCATATGTGGGTATTTAGATTCACCCAAAGACCCTCTGGTTCAAGTAAGGAGACAGTAATGGGATGGCTGAGAGCAGGGGATACCCAGACATCCAGCAGTACCTCACTTGACCTAATAGACAAGTTTCCACTGGTGTTCAAGAGTATCAGAGGGCTAGCCTGCACCATGTATTACATGTCATTACAAGTCATTGTGTGACAAAAGCACCCTGACTGAGAAGCATCCCCAGGATGTTTTAAGGTAATGCTGCACATTGAGGCTATAGAGGTATTGAAAATGTCTGAAATATAAACAATAAAATTAGTATCTTGCTTGAAAATCATGAGCAATACTAGTTGTTAACTACAGTATCAGAGGACTTTTGCTTCACTCAATATTTCGTGTTTCCTACTTTGAAATCACTGCAAAAGTAGGTTAATCATGTCTCAGACAGAAGAGACCTTTCCAAAATGTGGAGGAGAAGCAGTTCTGTACATTTATGCCTTGAAATACAATGGAATAATTGTACAACAGATTTACTTTAAAAACTATTGGACCCATCTGCATCAAGACTCTGCCCACCCATAGTCTTAATTGGTTTTAAAAGAGCTTTACGGTCTGTAAGGTGAACATACTGAATGAAAACATCAACATAAATATCACCTACATCCCCAGCTAAGTCCACTTTCTAAGAGAAGCTCCATATAGGGCCATAATGAATCATAAATGTATAGATAATTTCTTCAGCAACTTCCTGGCTGGCATGAATTGCTTTTTTTCTCTGGTCAATATGCTTTCCTAACAACCTGCTGGTGTTGCCAAAATAAACAAGAAGCACCTGTCCGTAGTACGTGCGATCTCCTAGAAGGGCAGTGCTTTCAAACAGGATATTATTAGCCTTTAAGATCTAAAAGCTATTAAAAACCTGTTTTGTAAGCGTTACGGTTTAAAATCTGAGCTTTAAAAATCCAGATTCTGTTTAAACTATTAACTTTGTAAAATGCAACTATCCATGTTATGTGTTGTTAGCCTGAAGAGGTTTGATACCCAGAATAAAATGTAAGGGAAATGCAATCTTTTTAACTGCTTGTATAAAATTAACCCCTAGGTGGGCAAGTCCTGGCTCGCCAGGTGTTGGTGGACAGAAACTTCCATCATTTGCAGCTGATGGAAGTCGCAGCCTGAGAATATCTGGAGGCCCTGGTGCTCCCTGTCCCTAGGTCACAGAACCATCATGAATTTAAATATATTGGCTGAAAACCTGTTGCGTAAGTTCCACCATGAACGGCTGATGACCTCACCAGCAGCGGCAACTTAATCATTTCTGATTTTTCCCACAAAAGTCCCAAGAGTCCTGTGCCATCACTTTCATCACTGGGAAACTGTTGGGGGGCTGCAAGACAGGAGTGGGAAATCTTTAATTACTTAAAATCACTATTGCTAATTAGGTATCAAGTAATTGTTTTTTAAGTAGGCAGATAAGGTTAAAAAAGTGTTAATTTACATTGTCATTATTCATATTTAATTTTCCACATTTGGTTTCAGTCCTATGAGAGAGGCAGGCAGGAGAGGGAATCTTCTCTTTATCCACTTTCTGTCTATAATTTTATAAATGTCCACAATGTCTCACCTGGCTCATATTTTTTCTAAGCTGAACAACCCTAAATGTTGCAAACTTTGTTTGCATAGAAGTTGCTCCTTGATCTTTTTGTCTGATCTTTTCTATACCTTTCCGAGCCCTACAACATCCTTTTTCATGTGCAGAAACCAGAACTGTACATAGTGTTCCAGGTGGGGTGATTGTCATACTTAAAGTTTTGTTTCTTTTTCTATTGCCAAATTCCCAAACAGTATTTGCCCCCCTCCCCCTTTTGGGTGGGTGGGTTCTTTTCTGGCAGTAGCCACATACTGAGTTGGCATTTTCATTGTGTTTTGCACCACAATATGATTCCTGGTATGTTGCTGCCAGCAGCATTCCCATCTTTCTAAATGTAAAACTGAGATTGCCCTAGCATGGATCATGTTTGCCTGAAACACATCTGTATTTTTTCCTTTCCTGAGCAACCAACAAAAAAAACCCTGCATATTTTCAGTATGTTTTATCTTTAACTGCACAGAAGTCAACTGCCTGGCAACTCTATAAACACCAACTTTTGAAAAATGGTTTAACATACATTAAAGTAACTAAATCATAACTGGGAAAAAAAACTTCCAAGATCAGATCTAAACTGTCATGATAGGATATTACGATTTCTGGTGGAACATGTGCAAATTCAGTTGTCATAACTACTTATTTTTATTTGACCTATTCATACCATGTACTTGATATTATTTCAGTAAAAAGCCTTCCCTGGCAGTGCAAGCGTGTGGCTGGGATGATTTATCATCTGTTTATCTTGTCTGAATATTTAATATTTACGTCAGCAAATTGGTTAAGGCTTTGTATGAGACTAAGGAAACTCAGACTTGGCTGCACACAGCCTCAGTGACTTGAATTTGAATGGACTGATATAAGAAGTAATGTGAATTTTTTTTCCCCTTACGGACTAATGATAGGGAAGGCTGCTGTCCTGGCTCGTAATTTTTTCTATATTGAGGTAAGTTTCTTTTCACTTTGGGGAATGTTATAAAGCTGTTGGGTAGAAGATGGGCATCAAAGTTTTCAGCTGATCTGTTTTTACTAGCAAAACAATGATAAAAAGAACCTGTTGCATGCATGTGGGAGAAGGAAGATAAAATAACTCTAAATTTGGCACAATTTTTATAATTTTAAAAAAATCATTGTGTTAATATGTTTCTAACAAGCATTGATTAGGCCGATCCATGAAAGTTAACTGTCCCTATTACAATTTATTTTACTTGGAACAGATGTTAGATTTAAAGTTTTGCATGTAGAAAAGGATAATCTCAACCATCTATCCCTTTACTGCAAAAACAGACAAGTTAAAATTTCTTTATTTCAAAATCAGTATAATGTTTTATACTATATGATGATCAAATATTGTTTCCCCAGCTTGGTTAGGAGAGATAAATAATGTATTCTTGTAAAGCTGTAGGAGATATTGCTGGAACCAGGAGATGTACCTAGCATATTTGGAGAGGCAGGTACCCAACTCAGAGTATGAAGCCTTAGGTATATAGCTTGCATTTCGGGCCACTTGTGGAATGGTCTCCATTTCCCAATGATGACATGATGGACAGGCGATAGTACCCCAGCCTGATCCCAATCTGTGTGCAAGCTGGACCTTTTTGGTAAGATTACTGCTTATGGGATCCAGGCTGGAACAATTTCCTGATGGATGAAAGGATCTCCTTAAGGGACATGCACCTTTCATATTGTCTGATCACACCCTTGCTTAGTTATCCAGCCATCTGGAAGGGGGGAGGCAAAGGAAGAAGTTCCAAATAAATAAGGATGACTGTTGAGTCCATACTGTCACAGACATTTAACTTCCTTTTATTAAATTGATGCTGCCATTATGTCTCATTTTAGGCAAAATCACAGAGATAAAGACAACAATATTGTTCTGCTTGATTACCAGGAAGCTGTCTTATGGTAATAGGGCAGTGATAAGGACAGCAATAGCTCTGCTCCCTTCCACTGAGTTTCTATTACAGTCCCTCTGTGAGAGTTTTGTGTCCTTTTGACACATTAACTGAATGAAGGTGATAGTTTTTAGTAGGATCCTCTTGTTAGAAGAGAGATAATAACGAAAATACTGTAATGGTACACTGTTGTACCTGAACTGAAAAAGAAGTTTAAAATTGATATGGAACGTAAATCTACACGCACACAAAATAAATTTTAGAAAGATTTAAAGTTGCCACTTCATCTTTAGAGCCAGGAGGCAATTTTGTTCATCGATACTTCTTGAAAGGTGCTCGGCCTGCTTCACTTTGGAGGTTCAGCACTTATCTACTATGCCTGTTTTTCAGACAAATATTTGACATATAGGTCTGTTGGATTAGGCTTGTTTGCTTAGCAGGGTAAGCAACAGCTCAGTGTCCACTGTTACTTCCTGTACACAAAGCCCCCTTTGAAAGAAAGCACAAAAGGGAACCTTATGATTGTGCAAAGTAGGTGGTGTGCAGTGTGCTGCATGATTCCTTTTGTTTTCCCTCTGCCTATAGTGTTTAGTTAAATACTAGTTAAGATTTGCTTTATAGCAAAGGAAGACATTTACCAATAGTCTATTGCAGTCAGTAAGTTTTTACTGGACATGTTGGCTTGAGCAATGTATGGACAGAGGCTTTCAGGGCACACATGGTAGTGAGGCTTATGCCTATAATAGATCCATGCTTTGGTTCAGCTGTCTCTGTCAGGAATGAAGACACTAGTTGGCTTCTCACTGGAAGAAATATTTCCACATAAAGGAGAAGATAAAACGTAGGATACAACAGCCAAGGATAACTTACTGAACACAAAAGGTAGGAAGATGGGCCTATTAAAAAGCCCCTTCTTAACAGCCCACCATATTTCCTTTTGCCATATAAATAAAAAATACCCAAACAGAGAGAGTGGAACATAGAGCTTTGCATGTTGGCTTGGGATTTGGAAGGGCCAGGCACCAGTCCCATCTCACTGGGCAGTGAAACTCACTGGGTGTACTTTGCGATAACTGCTCATTCTCGGTCTGCCCTGCCTCACAGCATTGTCATGAGGCTAAAGGTGGAAAGGAGCACAGTGGCCATGTCAGTCATGACAGAAGTTGGCCATGGGCCATTTACTTCATTTAGATGAATTTGACCAGATAACATATGTGTTCCCAATGATTTGTACAGTGGTGCCTTGAGTTGCGAACTTAATCCGTTCCAGAATGATGGTCGTAACTCAAGTTGGTCATAACTCAAAGCATCATTTCCCATAGGAATACATTGAAACACGATTAATCTGTTCTGGCTGAAAAAAGAAAAACCCTTTTCAGCAG